GGGGACGGAAGGGACATGACAAGGTTTCCCTGTGGATGGATGGGACCTGGGCGCTCAGCGGGAGTCAGCCAGGCTGAGAAGAAGAGCCCTCACAGCTCCTGATTCCGGTCTGGAAGAGGGTAGAATTTGCTAGACGCTGAAAGCCAGTGTGTTTAGAAAGCAGAGGAACAGCAGTTTAACCCTGCAGGTGAGGCCGGAGCCAGACTGTAGGACCCTCCTCCACCATGTGCCTCTTTGTTTAGGAGCTGCTGGGGGTCAGATTGAAATGACTGGCACTCCAAGATGCCTTGTCATCTCCAAGAGTAGTCCCCTCTTCCTCTGCCTCCCCCACCTCCTTCTTCCCTTCCTCCCTCCTCTTCCTCATCTTTCCTCTCAGTGCTGAGCATGGAATGCAGCCTTGAGTCTCATCCCTGCCCAAAGTGTGATCCTCCCATAGGTCCTGAGTGGGTCGGCCTCAACTTCTCTTTCGGCCATTCCCCTTTCAGAGAAAGAAGAGCTAGCCTGTGAGACTCCCCAGCCTGTGACTCAGGCAGGCCTGGAAGGAAACCTACCCACACCCAGAAGCAGGTTTGGGGCTCCCCGCTTGCTGAGGGAAGAGCTCACACCAGCCTCGAAGAGAACCAGGCTTCCCAAACACCCCACCTGCAGGATCTCTCAGCCAGTAGCCTCAATGCTTAGTGGTCTGTTTGCCTTCTCTTTTCTCTAATGGCTCACACCCCTGCCCTCCACCCGGATCTGTGACCTAACTGGGCCCTGGAGAACGAAGAGAATTTGAGAAATTCCAGCCAGATCAGAGAGGGAATGTGTTTTTCTTCCCTGGGTGTAGTTAGGGGGTTAAGTGAGAATGTTGCTCACTTCTGAGACCTGGCCCAGCCCTGTGCTGGGTGCTGCAAATACACCATAAAGAACATGTGTGGGATCTCCTCTCCCACCCATCTAGAAGACGGACATGGTGACATTATTCCTTCAGGAAAGTTCAATATGTGACATGAGAAACATCATTTTGTGGTGCCCCGCAGATCAATGAGAGGTATCTGAGGTGTATTTGGGGGTAAGCAGGAATGGCCATTGGAAGTTTTACTGGAGGAAAATAGTAGAATTATTCTGGCAAAAGGGAGTACATAGGACCTAGAGGTGTGTGTGTGTGTGTGTGTGTGTGTGTGTGTGTGTGTGTGTGTGTGTGTTACATCCATTAAGGCTGGGGTGTGGTGGGTGGTGGGGAGATATGATAGTAGGTCCTGGAGAGATGCTGCAAGCCTGAGGAGATGTGGAAACATCCGGGGTTCCAGCTGCCTAGAGAGACAAAATGTGCGGACTCCTCAGGGTGACCCTTCTCTAGGACCTTCTCTATGCACCTCTAGGACCACCTGTGAATGGCCCCTTCCCCTCCCCAGGTGCTCAAAGCCCCGTGATCCCTTTCTCTCTTTCTCCAGGGACCCAAAACATGTGTAGAGGTGCATGGTGGAGGGACAAGAAAGTCTCCCGTCTTGTCACTAATGACAGAGCAGAGCAAGCTGTTGACCCTTGAACAGAAAATAAGAGGCTGAAGGAACTTAGTCAATACATGGGTAATGGGTCAGATGACTTGTGATCACCCTGCAATTGCCACTCTTAAATGATTTCAACAATAAGAAAGATTCTCCTCCCTAAATACAGTTTGTGTTGCTCTGCATGCTAAGTAATTGCTGCAAATACTGCTTAACGTGAGTAAACCCTGTGAGCTTCAAGTTAGTGGGTTTTTTATTGCTCATCAGTACCGTGGTTCATTTAGAAAATCCCCAGTTATACAATGGCTGCTTCCGCTGTGTGTATTTACTTCAAGAGTAAGGACTAAGTTGTGTGCGCTTGGATTTAAACATTTCATTTGGCTGGGGATGTAGCTCAGTTGAGAGGGTGCTTGTCCAGCATGCACAAGGCCTTGGGTTCAATCCCTGGCAGCACATGAACTGGCTGTGGTGGTATAAGCCTGTAATCTCAGCTCTGGGTAGTTAGGAGGAGCTGAAGTTCAAGGTCATCTTTGGTTACATATCAAGTTCAAGGCTAGCCTGGGCTACATGAAACCCTGTTTCAAACTAGACAAACAATAGTTGTTATAAATGATGATAAAGCAGTACTCATAAAGTGGAGGAGATGGAATTCGATTTCCTTTTAATTCTGTTGTTCTATATGAAGACTAGCATTTTAATTAATATTTAAGTTTAAAACAGTGTGTGAAAACTGTGTCTTTTGGGGGGAGCTTTAGAGACAGAGTTTCTCTGTGTAACAGCCTTGGCTGTCCTGGAACTCACTCTGTAGACGAGGCTGGCCTCGAACTCACAGAGATCTGCCTGCCTTTACCTCCCCAGTGCTGGGATTAAAGGCATGCACCACCACCACCTGGCTGAAAACTGTATTTTTTTTTTTTTTGGTTTTTTGAGACAGGATTTCTCTGTGTAGCTTTGCGCCTTTCCTGGGACTCACTTGGTAGCCCAGGCTGGCCTCAAACTCACAGAGATCCGCCTGGCTCTGCCTCCGAGTGCTGGGATTAAAGGCGTGCGCCACCACCGCCCGGCTGAAAACTGTATTTTTAAAATATTTATCTTTATTAATTTTTAATTTCTTGTATATATACATGTCTGCGTGTGGGTATATGAGTGCAGGTGCCCTTGGAATCCAGAAGAGGGCATTGGATCTGGAGCTGGAGTTACAGGCAGTTCTGAGCTGTGGAATGTGGGTGCTGGAAACTGAACTCAGGTGCCCTGGAAGAGCAGTACATACTCATAACTCCTGAGCCATCTCTCCAGCCCTTCAAACTGTATCATTAAGCACAATTTACTTCACATCTGAATATTTCACTAGTTTATTTATGTCTTCAAGCTTGAGCTGCTGCTTCTCTTTAAACTCTTACTTGTTTCTGAGATAGTCCTGTGTAGCTCAGGTTGATCTTGGATTTTCTCAGTCTCCCATGTGCCGGGGTGACAGGCGTGTGCTGGGGTGACAGGCGTGTGCTGGGATGACAGGTATGTGCCGGGGTGACAGGCGTGTGCCGGGGTGACAGGCGTGTGCCGGGGTGACAGGCGTGTGCTGGGGTGACATGTGTGTGCTGGGATGACAGGTATGTGCCGGGGTGACAGGAGTGTGCCGGGGTGACAGATGTGTGCCGTGGTGACAGGTGTGTGCGGGGTGACAGGTGTGTTCTGGGGTGACAGGCGTGTGCCGGGGTGACAGGCGTGTGCCGGGGTGACAGGTGTGTGCTGTGGTGACAGGTGTGTGCCACCACACCTGGTATAATAATTGCTGACTTTAAATCTAAAGAGCAAATTGAGAAAATGTGCCGATGTATTGAACACTGAACCTGCTGTGGTAAGCCAGGAGTGGTGGCACACGCCTGTAACGTCAGGATTTGGGAGGTTGAGGCAGGAGTTACAAGCCAGCCTAGGCTACATTAGAGTTTGTCCCAAACACCATAACCAACAATGACAAAGTTCAACTGTATGGAGATATTTCCTCTTAATTTAAGACACACTACTTTAATTAAAAAATACATTAATCCATGATATTTTCCTGTCATATAGTTAGTATGTTTGTATGTATGTATGCATGTATGTGTTTATTTATTTCCAGACAGAGTCCATGCATTTCAGACTGACCTCAAACTCCCTGTGAAGCTGAGGCCGACCTTGGATTCCAGATGCTCCTGCCAAAAACCAACCAACCAACCAAACAAACAAACAAAATTCCAGGCAGTGGTGGCTCACGCCTGTAATCCTAGCACTCGGGAGGCAGAGCCAGGCAGATCTCTGAGTTCGAGGCCAACCTGGTCTACAGAGAGAGATCCAGGACAGGTGCCAAAACTACACAGAGAAACCCTGTCTCGAAAAAACAAAACAAAACAAAAAAACAAACAGATGCTCCTGCCTCCACTTTCTAAGTGCTAAGATTACAGGCGTGTGCCACCATACATCCAGCTAGCGTGTGTGTGTATATGTGTGTATGTGTGTATATATAGGTATGTATATATGTATGTGTGTATGTGTGTATATATAGGTGTGTATATATAGGTGTGTATGTGTGTGTATATATAGGTGTGTATATATATGTATGTGTCTATGTGTATGTGTGTATATATGTGTGTGTATATATAGGTGTGTATGTGTGTATATATAGGTGTGTATGTATATGTGTGTATATATAGGTGTGTATGTGTGTATATATAGGTGTGTATGTGTGTGTGTATATATAGGTGTGTATTGTGTTATGTGCATATGTATATGTGTGTATATAGGTGTGTATGTGTGTGTATATATATAGGTGTGTATATATGTATGGGTGTATGTGTATACACATGTATGTTTTACTGGCATGATTATATACACAAAGATCAATGAAAGAAAACTTCCACACATTTCTGGCCATTATTATTCATTTTATTTAATGAGCATCACTCGAATTATTTTAATGGGTAGAGGAGGATACTGAAGAAGGTCTTAGTGTCTGATATACTTAGTTGCCATTGGACAAAACTTGGCCACAAGGAAAATAACAAAACCCAGTGAGGTCCCATGAGAAAAGGCCCATGGGGGAAGGCATGGGGACCCATGACCCTTGCCTATACTCCCCTTCTGGTCCTATCCTCTTTTGGTCCCTTCTGATTATTTTGACTGCAGACAAAAGTCAAGGTCAGAGCAGATCACCACGAGCACGTGAGGACCCTGTCTGTCCGTCAGACCTGTGTCTTTAGTGAAGGCCACAGTGGGTACCTAGGCTGGAGAATCTCATTGAGGGCTCCCTTCATCACTGTCCCACCCGGTAGGTTTGAGTGCCCCTAGTCCAGAGAACGAGGGGCTGACACCCCCACTTTGGAGGCCTCCCTTTTAGAGATCCAGCCCTGAAGGATCTGAGGAGCTTTTGCGTTCTTCAACCTCCCACCAGGCTGAAGTCAATGGCTGCCTGAGGGGCAGTGGGTGAGAATTTAATAAAGGCAACAAGGTGTTGTGGCTGTGTGGAGAGACCTCCCCGAACAAGACCACCACAGAGCCGATGTCCGATGCAAAACACACAGGGGTTTATTGATAACAAGCAAACCCAGGCTTGGTCTGTGTTCAACACTCAACACAGCAGGTGGAGGAGGATGGCCCTGAGCTCTCAGGGTGAGGAGTTTTTAAAGGGTGGTACAAGCCTTAGCATCATATGATTGGGTGAGGGTGTGTAACCTTTGAATTTACTGGTTGGGGGTTACAGTTATCATTTTGGGGCAGGCCTGGACAAGTCCCAGGCTTTGTCCTTGAGCTGCCATGGGGGCTGGCTGGCCCAGCACGTACTGACTGTGGGGCTGACTCAGTGGCCCAGGCTCTGTCCTTGAGCTGCCGTAGAGGCTGGCTGGCCTCACATGTTCACATTGACCCATGTACATAGCTCTAAGTTGGTGAGGGGTCCCAGACAGTAAACAACTGGCTGAACCTTGAGCAGTCAGAGTACATGCAGAAAGGGAGCTACTGCAAGGACTAAGTCTTTTGTTCATGGCCCTCCCAGAAACTGCTTGCTTAAGTCTCAGGAAACTGAAATTGAGGCCTGATCTCTGAGAGAAGACTGAGCAGCCTGTTATGGCATCTGTTTGGTCCTTTCAGAGGCTTCTTCAATGCACTGCTGTGCCGGACACTGTGGTAGCATGTCATGTGTGTTCCCTGACAGCTCCCCCAGGCAGCTATGGAAAACCCCCACTTCAGGAGAAGGCCACCTTTGGGTGGCACCTTGCCTACAGGACAGTGGGGTTATACCAGTAGTTTTGGGGCGCTTTTTTGAGCTGCTCTCAGTGGGCTTCTTGGAGCTGAATGAGGGATTTCGGCCCCGGCTTGACTTGGAAGGAATCAGATATGGCCTCCTGGAGGGAGCTGGGTAAAAAAAGGTGGGGTGGGGTGGGGTTGAAAGCAATCAGAGGGTGGGATTAGAAGATTAGCAAGGCTGGGGCCTAGGGACAGGGTCCCATGGGAGGGTGGCTGAATGTAAGTTGAAGGGAACACTTAGCTCCAGGGGTTAGGGAAGCCACATGACAGGCCACGCTTCGCCTTCAGTCTCCTGCGTGAACTTTTACCTGCCAATCCAGACCCAAGGACCAGCTTTAGCAAGGCCTCCAGAACGTGTCTCCCGTGGTCAAACTTGTAAGGTCCCTTTGGGGGAGGGGGGTCCCTGCTTATCTATTACCTCATCATTAAACTGAGCAGTCAATAAGCTCAAATCCTTAAGATAGCCAAATAGCACCGATGTAGCATCTAGGGCTGGGTCTAGAGCTCAGGGCTCCGTCCCTCGCTCGTCCCCAAGCCCATCGCTGCCGCCCATGGCTATGGCCACTCTCGTCCAACTGCCTGCTGCTAAAGACCTAGCGGCTCCTGTGGGGTAAAGCAGACCAGTGTGGCAACCTGGTGCACTCAGTTCCAGCCCGGGGCATCTTGAGGGGAAGGGAAGGGAATCTGTGCACATTATCGTTCAAAGTCTCTGGGGATCACTGCTCTGGCTCGCAAGTTTGGAAACTGAGGTCCGTGTCAACAGGGCACCTGGTAGACCTTCATCCTTCCCTGTAACATTTTATGCCTGGGCACACAGGTCGAGACCTCTGTTGAAGGCGGGAGATAAGATAGGGGAGGCCCCGTTAACTGGAGCTTGTGAAAGGGGGGTTGCCAAAGCGAAGTGGCTGTTTCAGGAGCAACTGCTGAGGCCAGTCGGTCGGCAGTGGAGAGAGCATGGCTGTGGGAGGGGGGGGGGCAGGGGAAGGCACTGTGCAGGTTGAGGGGGGGGGGCAGGGGTTGAAGAGCCTGGGAAGAGTCTGGTGGGGTCTAGAAGGTCCAGGGTCTGCAATGACGAGGGGATGGACATGGCCTCCTGAGGAGAGCGGGGTAGGCTGGTTGTGGGCACAGCGGTGGTGGCTTTGGAGCCTCGTCCAGAGATGACCATGAGCTGTCCAGGCACATGGGGATGGGGTCACCAGGCTCCTCCAGAGAAGGGCCGGTCAGGAGGAAAGGCTTGGAGGTGTGAAGAGGCTGGGGCCGAAGGGCTGAGTTTGGGACCGAGGACGAGGGAATGGGAAGTCCACCCAAGAGCTCCCTGCCAGTGGGGGAGCCGGATTGAGACCCAGGTCCGTCTGGCCTAGTGCAGCAGCAAGCCGTGTTAGTCCAGCCCACAGTAGCACACACTAAAGCCACCACTGCTGTGCAGGGAGAAAAGATCAGGGATCTCCCTGAGCCGCAGCGGGCCTTGCTTGAGCTCTGGGTAGGATGCTACCAGAGGTTCACTCGCTATGAGCCTTACCTGGGACACCTCTGGCAGAGATCCTTCTCTGGCAGCTTGGAGGGAGCTGGTAGCACTAGAGAGGTAAGGGGGGGGGGCGAGAGAACTGAATCATTGACCATTCATTCACTCTACAAGTATTTAACAAGCACCTACTAGATGAAGCCTTGTGCTGAGTATGGGGGATATGACAGGAAGTCCAGATCCCATTTCTGCCCTGATGAGGGAAGAAAGGAGCCTTTCCAAACATCCACCCAACTCCTATTTTAGGGGTGTGGAAATGAGGAGTGACTTCCCCAAGCCGCAATTAGTGATGGGGCCGAGCCCTGTGTTCTTGTTGGGACCTTGGCCATCCATTATTCACTGGGCGCCATCGACAACCCCAGCGCTGCTTGGACTGTGGGAAAAGGGCACCCATGGACCCAAGAGTAGAGGTGGGTGTGGAACAAGGGGGTGGGTGGTGAGGGGAACTAAGAGGGATGGACAGTGTCCCCATGCTGGTGAGGAATAAAGCAGATGGAGAGTGTCAATCACACAACTCTCCTGACAACCAGAGCGATGTTCTGGAGCTCCGCCTCAGGGGCTGGGCTTCTGAAGGCAGAGACCTGCCCCCTCTACCCCAGGATGGTATATAAAGTCTTCTCGTTCCTTCCAGAGAAGAGTGAGCATCTCCGGTCCTCTGGGGGAGAAAGGAGCGGGAGACTCGCTGGGGAGTCTGTGGTATCCTTTGCCCGCTCAGCTGAAGCAGGGATTCTGCTTGCATGATGCAGCAGCTGCTACTGGCCCTGATAGGGGCCACATTCATCCTTACCCAACCCTCTGAGGGCACCGCCCCAGGTAAGAGCGCCTTGGACACCAAGGCAGAAGATTGGTGTGGAGGGGAAAGCGTTTAGATCTGGGGACTCTGTGGCTCCCTTGAACACTGAGTGCCCATCCATGCCTTTGACCAGCTTCCCCCAGTCAAGTGGAGGATTCAGTCCTTCGAGACTGCATAACAGAGGCCAAGTTGCTGGTGGATGCTGCCTATAACTGGACACAGAAGAGGTGGGCTTGGGACTGACTGGGGCTAGCCCAGCCTGGGAGGCTCAGTGAGGGAGGACGGGCTCTTGGCAAAGTCATCTCCTCCAACCTGAACCCCTGCTGGGCTGAGACTCTGCTGGTAGCCTGAGCCTTCCTCCAGCCTCCTCTTCCTCCTCCCCCCCCTCCCCGAGACAGCATCAAGCAGCGCCTTCGCAGCGGCTCGGCCAGCCCCATGGACCTCCTGGCCTACTTCAAGCAGCCAGTAGCAGCCACCAAAAGAGTTGTTCAGGCTGCCGATTATATGCACGTGGCCTTAGGGCTGCTAGAAGAGAAGCTTCAGGCGCAGGGATCCAGGCCCTTCAATGTCACTGGTACTGTGTTTCCCATGGAGCCCCCCAAGGCCTGCCCTAGCCTGGGAGTAGAAGAAGAAAGCCAGATGTGGGAGGTGGGGTGGAAAGCGATGTTAGAGATGACAAAGGGATGGACCTGACCAGCCCAGGAAAGAACTAGGACTCTGGACTCTGCCCCCCTCCTCCGCAGATGTGCTCACAGAACCACAGTTGCGCCTGCTGTCCCAGACCAGTGGCTGCGCTCTCCAGGACCCGGTGGAGAAGTGCAGCAATAAGTACCGCACCATCACAGGAAGATGTAACAACAAGTGGGTATCGGGGGTGGGGGGGGCTGCCTTTGCTCCCCACTCCCTCTCAGGCCCTGCACCCCGCTGACACCTACCCCTTCACTACCACAGGAAGAGGCCCTGGCTGGGAGCCTCCAACCAAGCCCTGGCCCGCTGGCTGCCCGCTGAGTATGAAGATCACAGGTCGCTCCCCTTCGGCTGGACGCCCAGCAAGAGGCGCAATGGCTTCTTCCTCCCTCTTGTGAGTTGCAGTGGGGGGGGGGGCGTCTGGAAAATGCTTCTCTTGCCAATGCAGAGGGGGAAATACGGCCCTGAGTCATCAGGCATGTGGAGCTCGGGCCTGGGCTGTCCCACTGACCTGCTGAGTGACTTTGTGGGGGGCGAATACCCCTTATTCCTGAGTCTCAGTTTCTTCACCTGAAAGTAGAAAAATCTAAGCTTGTGTGAATGGAAATGAAGTCCTTGGCATAAACAGCTGTATTAGACCACGATCTATGGTACCTGTGCTACCTGTTATGGAATGTTGTTTTTTTTGTTTTCATGGTTGAACAGGTGTCAAAGCATCTCTCTTTCCTTTTCTGCGTGCGCGTGCGCGCGCATGTGTGTGTGTGTGTGTGTGTGTGTGTGTGTGTGTGTGTGTGATGTGTATGTCTCTGTGTGTACAGGTGTGCACAGACATGGGGAGGTCAGAGAAAGACATTGGATGTCTTCCTTTATTGATCCCACCATTATATATATATATATATATATATATGTATATATGTATGTATGTATGTATGTATGTATGTATGTATGTATTTATTTATTTATTTATTTATTTATTTATTTATTTATTTATTTATTTATTTATTGGGGGAGGCAAGGTCTCCTACGCAGCCTGAAGCTTGCTGTTACATGTAAGATGATTGGACAGTGAGCTACTGGGATTGGCCTGTCTTGGCCCTCAATATATGGGCTACAGGCCCATGTAGCCAAGCTTGGTTCTGGAATTTGAAGTCAGGTCATAGCAAGCATTCTTACCCATTAAGTCATCTCCCGGTGCCTTTGTTTATTTTTTGAGACAAGGTCTTATGCTATAGTCTGTTCTGGCCTGAACTTAGGATGTAACCCAGGCTGGTCTCAAACTCACGGCAATCCCCATACCTCCGCTTCCTAGGGCTGGGGTAATAGGTGTGAGACTCCATGTTTAGGCCAAAGTATCGTCCTAAATATAAAGTTCTATGCATCTGT